AAAAAAAAATTGTTCAGACACGAGTGATAAGCAAATAAGGAAGTGAGACACAAAGCAGAATAAAGCAAGCTAACGTGGTCATTCACCACAAAAATCGTAACGTCAAAAGCCACCCTAGTTAACGGGAGCTCGATGGGCAGAGTTACTGCAAGTGAGTGCATTTGTCAAAATCAGTCCAATTTGGGTTCAAGTAGAACATAAGGTTGACGGAAACTCGGGGACTGCGCCTAGTTGTGATGTGCCCCAAGAAGGGCGGAACCGGTTGTGGGCTGTCGAAGAGTTTTCAGCAACTTTGTGAGTAGTTTCCTTTATAAAGCAAGGTTACTTGAACCTTCAGCACATCCCCGCCTCCAACGCGCAGCTACCTACCCCACCTCCCCGAATCACCGGTGAACGAAACTGTGGTAGCTACAACAACTGTACGACAGGTACGTGGTTATTACAAGTGACAGTGATCATGGAGCTAGTTCATCCTAGTAATTTGGATGCATCATTTACAAACTGGGTGGAATATTTTCATGAAGGAAACTACTCACAAGGTTACTGAAAACTCATCGACAGCCCACGACCAGTTTCACCCTTCTTGGGGCTCATCAGATAGGCGCAGTCCCCGAGTTTCTGTCAACCATATGTTCTACTTGCGAATCTCAGGTAACCAGGTTACCTTTGGGGATGGCTGTCTGAGCTTGTGCCTTGGAAATCGGGAGTTCAACTCCCATCACGCAAATGGATATGCACTAACGATGAGCTGTAATGGGCGCGAAGCTGGTGTCCAGTGCTTTTTTCCTTTGGTGCCAGGATAATTGCTCCAGAAAAGCAGGGCGACTGTTCAGGCGAAAATGGTGTGAATGAGGATTCTACAAATCCCTCAACCAACCAATCAGTATGCCGTTTGTGAGTCACTCAGATGAAGTGAGCATCGCTCAAACTCACGTCATTTTCGTATATTTGTGTGGCAACGTCGACTCCGGTTTTTGCAGGTACAAATTTTTTTCCTTGCCAGGATAATTTCTCCAGAAAAGCAGGGCGACTGTTCAGGCGAAAATGGTGTGAATGAGGATTCTACAAATCCCTCAACCAACCAATCAGTATGCCGTTTGTGAGTCACTCAGATGAAGTGAGCATCGCTCAAACTCACGTCATTTTCGTATATTTGTGTGGCAACGTCGACTCCGGTTTTTGCAGGTACAAACAAGGGTGTGGGTGGTCGGTCCAAAAAATAGTCTGTCTGAGTAGCGAAGTCATCCTGTTCAATTTGTTCGGTTAACTCCTCCAGATAAAGACCAGTCTGAACGTGAACAGATGACCTTGCAAAAGCCATACCTAGGGATGGTGATAAAGCCAGAATAAGGTGGTAGAAATTGGTGATACCAGTGGAAACAGTGTCTGCGTCAGCACACGTCCAATAGCATCACTTTAAGAGCATAGTTATAAGCACTCATGTTATGATTCTGTTGTTCTCTGGTTTAAAATTTATCAACCAGAGGTATGCAAAAAAGCCAAAATTCTGTAATATTGATAGCCAAGATGGACTTAGTAGTATACGATCGGACCTCAGGTTATCGAGCCCCGGGAGCAGTCAATGAAAGGTAGGAACCCATCGAAGCGCACGCCAAAGAATTGTAAACTCCTATTTATTTATTCATCCATTTGTTTATTTCTTCAATCAACCATTCATCTATCTATCTATCTATCTATCTATCAATCTAATCTATCTATCTATCTATCTATCTAATCTATCTATCTATCTATCTATCTAATCTATCTATCTATCTATCTATCTAATCTATCTATCTATCTATCTATCTAATCTATCTATCTATCTATCTATCTAATCTATCTATCTATCTATCTATCTAATCTATCTATCTATCTATCTATCTAATCTATCTATCTATCTATCTATCTAATCTATCTATCTATCTATCTATCTAATCTATCTATCTATCTATCTATCTACCTATCTATCTATCTATCTATCTATCTAACTACCTATCTATCTCCTACCTACCTACCTACCTACCTACCTACCTACCTACCTACCTACCTACCTACCTACCTACCTACCTACCTACCTACCTACCTACCTACCTACCTACCTACCTACCTACCTACCTACCTACCTACCTACCTACCTACCTACCTACCTACCTACCTACCTACCTACCTACCTACCTACCTACCTACCTACCTACCTACCTACCTACCTACCTACCTACCTACCTACCTACCTACCTACCTACCTACCTACCTACCTACCTACCTACCTACCTACCTACCTACCTACCTACCTACCTACCTACCTACCTACCTACCTACCTACCTACCTACCTACCTACCTACCTACCTACCTACCTACCTACCTACCTACCTACCTACCTACCTACCTACCTACCTACCTACCTACCTACCTACCTACCTACCTACCTACCTACCTACCTACCTACCTACCTACCTACCTACCTACCTACCTACCTACCTACCTACCTACCTACCTACCTACCTACCTACCTACCTACCTACCTACCTACCTACCTACCTACCTACCTACCTACCTACCTACCTACCTACCTACCTACCTACCTACCTACCTACCTACCTACCTACCTACCTACCTACCTACCTACCTACCTACCTACCTACCTACCTACCTACCTACCTACCTACCTACCTACCTACCTACCTACCTACCTACCTACCTACCTACCTACCTACCTACCTACCTACCTACCTACCTACCTACCTACCTACCTACCCATCTTCATTCGTTTTCTTCTTTCTGTCTTCCTACAGGTTTCTTAGCTCAGTTCAACTCATCTCTGTTTCGACATGGGTCTATCTTCTGTGGTTGTCCACTGAGACGTTGGATTCAGGCCCCGAAATTAAACCCAGCTTGTTGCGTCTGTCTGTCTCTGTCTGTCCGTCTGCCTATCTGTCTGTTCGTCTATTTAACTGTCTATCTGTCTGTCTGCCTGCCTGCCTGTCTGCCTGTCTGCCTGTCTGTCTGCCTGCCTGCCTGCCTGCCTGTCTATCTGTGTCTGACTATCAGCGTGTGTGTGTCAAATATGTGTGCATTCTGTGCTACTCACAGTAATGACCCAAGCATCTGATCGAATGGATAATTCTTCCGTTCATGTACTGACCGTGTGATTACTTTTCTCTTTCACTTGAAAATGTGAGATTTTTGAGAATCTCAAGGACGTCACCTGGTAGGAGCTTTCCCATAGGCTTTAACAGTGACGAAAGATTTCGTCGTTAGGATAACCCATAAACTGACGATTACGTGAAGAGCAAAGCAATACAGAACTGGCTTACCGACAACTGCCGATGAGAGTAAGGTCGATGCTGTAAAATGTGCCGAAAATAGGTTGAGCTGCCATCAACATTGGCTCAGATGATGAACATCTATCTGTGTCCATCTATCACTGTTTAGTTTGGAGACTGCATACAGTACTAATGAACTGCACCATCTGGCGAACTTGTTTAAATCAACCAAGATAAAACGAAATCGTGCTTTAATTCGCAGGAAAGAGCAGAGCTTATTTGGAAAGGGGTACGTCGAACCCTCACTAATCATGAGAGGTTACTTTTGAACAATTTCGACTTACATCCTGGTCCAATTAAAGAACCCTTTGCGTCCCCTGCACGTTGTTCCTGTAGAAATTTGCGCGCAGTGGCTGCGCGTTGCTTGGCCATTGTTTTTCTAAGTTCCGCGCATTTCGAAGTCATTTCAAGGTATCTCCGGCGAGAGATTGCTTCATAGTGGGCGGGTCCATCTTCTCCTGATGGAGCTTGCATCAAAGTAATCACTCCGGATCTGGAAAAAAACATAATCGTCTTGAAGAGTTTACCACACATTGATCAAAATGTCAACCAGTGTAAAATATCTTTAATTCACATCTCTGCGAAGTAAACACCACTCAGTAACCCTTCTTTTTGACTGAGGCATAAAACGCGTCATAGAAAACTACACGACGGCAAGAAAATGTGACACAGCTGGTTAGATTTGATGTTTGCGTCATTGTTCTGAGAAGCTGCAGTGAATTCTAGGAGGCTTGTTTCACAAAGACAACTATTTCAGTATGCGCGCTTTTCTCTCTTCATTTCCACTAGTTTGCGTAAAACAGTACAGGACTCATCACAGGACATCTACTCAAGAATGAGTATCTCCAACGGTGGGATCCTTTTGTCGGCAACAATATTTTCCCCAGCACTAAGAATTTGAAGAAACAGTCCTCTCAAATCAACGTGGCGGCACTTTAAACCATATAGCTCTTCACAAAGTGGGATTTTTGTTGTTTGCTCAGGCGGCACATGTGATCTGGGAGGTTTTTTCGGAACAGATTACTTATACTTTACAGGTAGTGAGAGTTAAAAATTAAATTCGGAGCTGTTCTTGCCAAACTATGAACACCGCCTATGTTTGTCAGGTAGAACTGTCGCTAATCTTAACCACTGTCTTTGAGTGTGCCCCCTCTACTGGCCTTCTGAACAAAAACGAAGTAAAGCGGTTCTTTTATCATAATGTCTAAGTTTATGGGTAGCTACGCGCCCTTTATTTTTATGTTGTGATTCGTCTTGTGTTTCAAAAGGTTCCTTCAATCCCTTCAGTTAAATACACTGGAAACGAGCTGATTCCCCCAAATTTTCTATAACGACCGAGACGGAGCAGAAGGTCATCTCACTAGACAAAAATTCGGACGAATGTGAATGCAATTCTGTCGATCTGCGCTCGTTTGAGTTTATTGTTCATCCCAATGCTTTCTATTTTTAGTAGTTTATTCCATAGCTTTGGTTGGCACTCTTCTTAGTTTTCATTGCATTGTGGTACGATCTTATCGAGATTGATTGGACGGCTGTATCGTCCTATTTTCTCTATAGTAATGGCTGGTATCCCCGGTTAATTTGGTGCTTTGGTTTATTGTTTGGGCTCCTTCTCCAATCAGATTGATGTGTCCATTTGAATCAGGCTTTCCTGCTTTTCCAATGACATTTTGTTTGGATGCTTTTACATCTCGAAGCTCTGCAATTCTGGCGTTCTCTTGCTTGAGCCAGTATTCCATCTCCGCTCTTGACGAGCTCGTGTCCCCAATGATACGTGTGAACGGAGTTGAGGTGAAACGAGGTGAGATGATATGGAAAGAAAATTTCATCTTTAGACTAACTCGATCTCCTTAGCTCCAGAATAGAATCTCCCGTTCCACAGAATTATACTATGGTGGTTAATCGCAGAAAAAACAATGTAGATGAGTGCGTATGTCATGATTCTCCCAAACAGGTCTCCGTATTTTCATCTGTCATACGAATACCAAGTAGCACATACCAAAATTCTGCGGACTATGGACCTACCCAGCAGCGCGGTTCGGAGCGGTAGATGGCAAACTGTCGTACACGTATGCTCCCTTTAGGTTGCGTTTGCAGTACATCCCCAAGTGGTCGTCGGTGAATGTCGGTTCAATAGCCAAACAGCGATTGGGTCTTGTCTCTGTACCCGCTTGTCTATTATCGACCAACGGATTCAAACCGGCAGGTCACGTGCCCAGAACTATTCGCAGTCATTTGTAACCTGGTCATGGCTCACAAAGAATGGAACATCGAGTCTTCTGTATTTCTGACAAAGTTTGCATGGTCCCAAGGGCAGACATAGGTGACTTTTTTGCACCAAAAACTGAACTATCCATGAAATTTAATTGTATTAGCCTGAGCTGTGGATGGATGCTTCACTCACGAGTGCGAATACATGCTACAGCCCTTTCCACCAGTCGATTTTTGACTTCTGAAGAAAGCAGTGAGATTGGATGGACAAGAAACTTGGTTCCAGCCTACTGCAATCATTCCGAGGCGCCTAAAAATCCGTAAACTCACTGAGACACCGGACAGAAAGTGACAACGAGGATGCCGTTGACACCGATTAGCAGTCATTTCTTACAGCATCCCCAATCATGCACAGATTATATTCTGGAAAGCCAGTTGCACAGACAGTGCCCATAACCGGTTCATTAATGTCCCTCTGCCAACTCAAAGGGCATCCACATCCTTGAAGTGGACACGAAAAAAAATACTCTCTTCGGTGATACGGCATACATTATACATGGCCAAAACACCGCAGCTTTTGGTGTAAGGCGTATTCTTTAATTTTAGTCTTTGGTGCACAACCGAAACACCCGCCTTCTAGCACTCTTGTTGCCTATTCGCCGACACAAACCCACGTGAAGTACGCTTCCGTGACAACGATTTCGGAGACACGATGACGTCTCAGTTACGCAGCTCGAACAGATCAAGTCTCACAGGAGTACAATAAAGAGTCTGTACTGTAGCCTGATCTACTTGTCCATTGTAATAAGGACTACTCAGTGTACACTTTCATCGACATAACCATCAACTCCATCACCACCAAAATCGCATCAGCTGCTGCGGCAGCAGTGGTATGATCGTGGAGGTCTTGATTCGCAAACTTCCACACGACATGGTTCCTTTCGCCAAACCTGCTCAGCGACACTCTTATTTAAAGTAGTCAGTCTAGTCTAGAAGCGCGAGAGTGAAGTCAATCGATACCGGCTACTCACGAGTGATTTTCCACAAACTGATGTTATCTCATCTTACTCATTACGAATTTCAATCGTGGATTTATATGACCGCTTACGTCTTGCACTCATCACTGTCGACTCTACACGGGTCTGCTTAAATTTGTCACCGTTGCTCCACGCCCAAGGTCGTTTTAGAGAGGAAGTGTCGAGGGCGCGGGCGACTCTCTCTCTCTCTCTCTTGGCTCCTGTCTCTGTCTGGCTCCAATTCAGTTCAAGCACACTTTAGCTGAGACGGCCCTCATGGTAACACGGAGTTGGTCACATTAGATCCAAAAAGCGGATGTTCAAGAAGCCCACGATTAGTGAGACTTTATAGGGGGGTTCGGTTGGCAAATCAGCTGTCACGTTTCAGAGTATACCCGTTTCTCCAGGTGAAACTGGCGTTTGTACACAGAAGATCGCCTGTCAAGTTCGTTTTACCTGGGGCTTGTAGGTTGCAGATATGATATATGAAGGAAAATAGAGTATTTGCATTACGGCAGTGAAGCATCGGTGTTCAACACTGATGTCATGCTGTCGATGATGATGATGATGATGACGATGATGATGATGATGATGATGATGATGATGATGATGTTGATGAGATTCATCTGGGTTTCAGGTGAGTCTCCCAATGACTACGTGCTGAACCGTTCGTTTTCTTCTAAGGCTTTCACGTGTACCCCGGCTAATAAGACCAAGTTAGGCAACTTGTTTGAAAGCGCCCCACCCAGAATAGCTGCGTTCAGCTTATACTTCATCAGAGCTTTGATGTGACAGCCTGAATCGCNGGGAGTCTCCCAATGACTACGGGCTGAACCGTTCGTTTTCTTCTAAGGCTTTCACGTGTACCCCGGCTAATAAGACCAAGTTAGGCAACTTGTTTGAAAGCGCCCCACCCAGAATAGCTGCGTTCAGCTTATACTTCATCAGAGCTTTGATGTGACAGCCTGAATCGCTGCTTGCCTCCACCAGAAATTGTTGTAAGCCAGTTAAATCGTTCACCTTGGAGTTCATGAACGAATATCATTCAACAGGAGACGTCCATTCCAATGGGTACCCAGTTCTACTCCTTTCCATCCTCATATCTAGGTGGCATGTGTAAGTTCAAACCGTGTAGCGGCGAAATTTCTGAAATCTAAGGACGCAGCTCAGTGAACAGTCAGACAACCGTCTATGCCGCTCGAATTGTGAAAAATGCCGTGACAGCAAAGAGACTCAGGAAACATTCAACACTGGTCGATGGAACTCTCCCGTGTACGCAGTGGAATGAGTGAGCCCGACCCTCTTTTGAGCACGATGACAAGATCGGTTCTGTGCTGAAACCATCTGCTAACTGCCGCAAGAATCTCTGGCGTTCGTGTCAAGCCGCTTCGTTTGGAAAACGAACTTCCTCAAGTCCATAAAAAGCTGTTTTGTTGTTTCCTTAAGATTTAAAAACATTCCCTTGGGTGCGAGACTTCACCTGTACGTGGGTCATACCCAACAGTAGATAGCTAATAAGTACAAATGTGAGGCAAAGTGGGTGAACTTGGTTGGTGTGTATGACTGATTGATTGATTGATTGATTGTTTTTCTCACAACGATACAATTGAATTCACTCTTTTGGAAAACAACAAATACCGGTTTCGTGACAGTTTTTGTGGTGCAGTAGTTACATATAAGGTCTTTAAACTGGATGTCACCGGTAAAAGTACCCTGTACTCGCCCTCTCGTCTTTGGAATGCCTAGAAAAAATAGTGTGTGTTAAACAATTTCTAGAATTGGTTTACTGCTCCGAATTTTGGACCGTACTGAAATGGGATGGATGAGGCGCGAGGACACGGTGTTTTCTAGGTGCTCAGTAAAACAGTGAAAAACTGGCGCGTATGCTTGTGAACTCCCCACTTCGTTTTTTTTCCACGTCGGAAACCAAAACAATCCAATAACCAGTTTAACAAATCAGTCCAATTTTTCGATCGGGGGCTATGGTATCATTTATGTGACAAAACGCGCCAGTCCCAGTGAGATTACACAACGCATTGCCGGAATCCATAGTGGGAGCAGAGTTGATCTTTAACGTGGAGTGTTGTGTACATGCCACGCGATTTTCTTCAAATTGTTTGTCAGTCTTTAAGGGGTTTGAACTACCTATGGTGTTATACCAAGTCGTACATGGCTCATATTGTTTACATGTTTGCTAAGGAGTGTATTTCGCTGAGTTCGTGCAATTTGGTTTCAAGTAGAACAGAAGGTTGACGAAAACTCGAA